CGAATTCGTAAGAGCAGTAATATAGATTGAAGAAGTGATCAATTAGCTCAATTAGTGAAGAATTAGCTCAAAGGAAGGGGCACCTTTCTCTAATTCTTCCACCCAGAACATGTGCCTTGTCTTTATTTTGTCAGCCCCAAGGGGAACCTTTTTAAAACTGTGTCTTTCCACAGGAGCAGCGTTTTGTAATTGGCACCAAGGCTCTGTATATGTTTGGCCAGAGAGTTTAGATCGCTATTTCATGATTCCACGCCTTTGCTCACACTCTTCCTTCTGCTTAGAATGACCTTTCCCCTTTGTCGGCCTGGCAGATGTTTTGTTGCCTGTCAGAGTAATATGAGGATTACCTGTTCATTGGATTAGGATTTCTGATTCCATGCCATCCCCCACCTTTGGTGGAAGAGAATGCCACCCCCCACATTGTGTTGATGGTTTGCCCACTATGAAGTTCCATCATTAAGGAGTTCTTGTCTGAAATGAGATCCTGAAGAATCCAGTTCTGTCCTGTCAAAGCTGCCCCACTACCACCAACGCTCTCTGAGGAAGGGTGTGCACAGCAAACAGGATCAGGCAAGGGCACGCTCTTTATTTTTATAATGCTTTATGCCAGCCCTAGGAAGTCTCTGCAAGCTAAAGTTAAAGACAGGCCAGTGGGCCTCCAACCCAGTCAAGCCGTGGAACCCACTTTCCCCTCCCAATTACGTCCATATCTAAATCTCATCTTGTCTTAATGTTCTGAAAGTAAAAGCCCTCATAGGAAAGCAAGAAAAATTGTTCACAAAACAGGCTTCTTGATACCTCTCCTGCTAATGCTCTCTACTCAAATAACATTCTTGGATTTGTAGCATCTCAGCACCCAGCTCTGGGGGTATGAAGTGAGAGCCCTGAGGGTGGGGCCTCTTTCCCAAGAGTTCTGCTACTTCCCCCCGCTTAATCGACCGAAATTCATGTCCAGTCATGGTATCAGCCAGGCTATTTATTTTTCCCTCCAGAGAAGATGCATGGAGTCTTGGAAAAGCCAGCCATTCTTTTCTTGGATCACTTCTTCAATCTATATTACTGCTCTTACGAATTCGTCTAGGAGATAAACACACACCCACATATAATACACACACACACACATGCACACACACAGATACACAAAATTTTTTTAACTTGACTCTCTAAAAATTCAAATCTTCTCTAAACCATATAATGCTTCAGTCATATAAAAAGGCAAAATATAAACTAGGAAAAATAGGATTTACAATATATTTGACAGAAAGAAAGTTAATAATCTTAACAGAAAGAGCTTTTATAAATCAATGAGAGTTAAAAACTCCCTAATACAACTGAGCACAAGATGTGGGAACAGGCAGTGAAAAAAAAAAAAAATGTTGGTGTTTGGGGAAAAAAAAAGAAATTTCGGTCTTTGAAATAGGTAATATTAAATGCTGATACTCAATTTTATATAAAACACAGCAAAAATTGTTCAATAACGTTTATGTATAAATATATAATATATACTTATATAGTGTATAATAGAGTACATATGTAAAATACAATTTCATAGATTTGTGTTATTATCTTGGCAATTACATATTGCTAAACTTGATATGTGTGGGTTTTGTCTGCCACTCTAATGTATTTGTCTACTTCCTCCCAGTGGACCACAGTGAAGTTTCAAATTTATTCACTGTACCCAACACAGTGTCTGTCACAGAGCAGGCGTTCAGTGAATGGGTTTTTTTTTATTTTTTAATTTTTTTTAGTGAATTTTTTAAATGAATAGATTCTTAGGAAATATAGTTATGACTCTGTTTACTCTTGTCCTTTGGAGCGGAGAAGAAAAACATTTGACCAAATCTGATACACTTCTAAGTCGTAAACCTCTACTTTCAGTGTATTTCCTCTGTTGAGAAATCTGACTTCCAGTGGAAGCTGACAGACACCTGGAGACGAAGCATTTGGTCGGATACCTTCTGTGCCATCACTAAATAACCACAAAAAGCGCTCCTATTCAAAGCACACAAATTGACTAAATTTATTTTTCCCAAAATTTAAATCACAATTATATTTTTTCAAAACTTTTAAGACTATAGGAGAGAAACGCATTATTTTAAGAAAACCTTTTGTGTAAGGTAGTGCCGTTTCATACCGCACTCTCTAGAGCTCTGAGTCCCACAGGGGCCTCTCAGCATTGAGAAGGTCCTTTCTCCAGACCCCACCTCCCACTTCAGCCAGAGCAATGCTGCTTTTCTTTATATTACATGTTAGGCTTCCACATAGGATTTTAATGGAATGAAGGGATCAATGATGCGAAATAAAGAGGCAAATGAATATGAAAAATACTGATGTCAAAAATAATCCATTTGTCATGATGTACACACACATTATCACATCCTACACTATGTGTTTTGTATCCTATTCATTCTTCAAAGACCTAGTTTGTATCCACTCCAATCTACCCCGTCTGCAGAGTCTTGCCAGTTCCCCCAGTGGATTAGTTGCTTCAGTCTCTATGCCTTATCTGTTCACACATCTTTGTGTCCTTTGGGGACAGTGATTTCCAAAGTGGGTTGCTCATACCTCAAGATAATCTATCAGGGAAGAAAATATTACAACTTCCATTTGTGCATATTTTTTCTTTTTAGTTCTCTATTTTGGTAGAGAGTAAATTTTATGAAATCAAAATATCCCACCACAGTGGTATAAGGATAGATGATAGATAGATAGATGATAGATAGATGATAGATAGATAGATAGATAGATAGATAGATAGATAGATAGATAGATAGATGATAGACAGATAGATAACAAATAAATGAGGGGAGAGTTTAGTGCTGCTCAAAGAAAAAGTTTTAAGATGACTTCTCTGGTCTCTGGACTCCTAGAATAGAGTTTCTTCATCTCTGTATGTGCAGGTTATATATCACTTGCCCAATAAATTATTTTGAAAGAATAGATAAATTATTTTGGATTTTCTACATTAAGTTTTCTAAAGGCAAAGCATACCTCAGCTAAAATTTTGAAATATCCCTTCATACATGAGCACTTCTGCCACCAAATCCATCTTTTTCTCAAAAGACGCCACTATGACTAGTTTTTCCTCAAGTGCTGAAGCCCACAGCTTCATGGGCTGCATGTGGAAACTAAGAGCAAGGCAGATGTGGTTAGACAATTTAGAAGGCTGGAGTGAATCCAGAGAGCGTGGTTTGCTGCATACCCCATTTGGAAATGGGGTGAGCAGTGAGGTTGGGAAAGGGGGTGTCTGTAGTTGGATCCAACCAGGGATGGGAGGGAGACAGAGGTGTCATTCTGATTAGGCTCCAAAAAATCAACTAAGGGAGCCTGGTTCTCTGCCTTGATAAGCATACTGTCAGTGAGTTAACCGAGCACACCATCACTCTCATTTTCTGCTTCATTTCGTTATGCTATTCTCTTGTATTTTAACTGATGTATTTTATAATCTGCCATTAAATACCTAGCTTTGCATCATTACACACTGTTCTCACTCAACCTCTGAGTATCCAACTAAATTAATTGTATGTATTTTGAAATTTTACCTTAATTTTATCAATGGATTTCCCTAAATATACACTACCAACTCTGTGACATTTCATAAATTATAATAGTTATAAATTCCCTGAATTGTAGGTCATTTTTATCCCTTTGGTTTCAATGTAGGAAGTTAAAGAGAAAAATACAACTTTCTCAATATATAGAAAATGATATACTATAATGAAATCCTTTAATTTTCTCTAACTTCCAATATTCTCTTTATATAAACTCTTAAAATCTTTGTTCTGTTTAAATTTTAAATGAAATACTGAGTTTGATCTTATAAAACATTTAATCACTGTTGGAAATGCATTTTATGAGACCCAGTAAAGCCAGTTTCAATGATATGAACTAAAAATCCAATATCATGCTTGGAACACAATTTTTGAGAGCACTCTGCATCACTGGTGGTATTTACTTCAGAAAAAATGAATTATTGTGGGGGCGCCTGGGTGGCTCAGTTGGTTAAACGACTGCCTTCGGCTCAGGTCATGATCCTGGATTCCTGGGATCGAGTCCCACGTCGGGCTCCCTGCTCAGCAGGGAATCTGCTTCTCCCTCTGAGCCTCTGACCCTCTTCCCTCTCGTGCTATCTCTCATTCTCTCTCACTCGAATAAATAAATAAAATCTTTAAAAAATAAAAAATAAAAAAATAAAATGAATTATTGTGTTATGGGCTAAGTCCTGCCAGAATTGATTTTGAAAGTCCAAAGTGGAATATTTTGGATACTATAGTTTAATATGAAGTGAACAGGCAAATAGCGTTTTTATTATTTAAAAAAGCAATAAAATGGTTTCAATAAGTTGTTAGACTCGTATTTATTACCTATTCTGTGGCTCCAACCCATAAATTGATGGCTATATGTGAAGTGTAAGCAAATACTGCTCTTTATAAATGTGGTACAAGCATTTTCAAAGCTTGTTGCACAATCTCATTATCGTGATCAGTTATTGCTTTTCTTCCCAAGAGAAGGGCTGTCCATCCTAATTTAGCAGTGAAGGACTGATTGTTATTATGTTCTCCCGAGTGAAAAGTAGCTCCAATTCTTTCAAACAGAATGATAACCAGGATGACTTACGGGAGGGTGGGGGCCGCGGAACGGCCAGAACCTAGAGGAAAGCCCATCCGTGCCTTGGGCCATGCACCCCACTGTCCCCTAGGGAAAGAGCATGGCCTCAGGAGCCCTTTCTGCCCCTTTTCATGTGATAATCAGGGATTTCCAGTATTTATAAGACATTCTTTACATTTGATCGGAAAGACTTCGACGTAAGAGTCTCTCTGGATTTCTTTACACTCCCCGTTTCCTTATTTTCATCTTTCATCGTCTTTATTCTCCTCGTGCATTCATTAGTTATCCAGTATTTTTTTTAATATCTGTTTTGTGTCAAACCCAGACAGAGACAGGAATTTATGCCCTCAGAAGGGAAGGCGGGCGGGCAAACCAGGAGGTGAGACCCAATGGCGTACAGGTGTCCCGATAAAGGTACGAGCGGAGTGCCAGGAGGACACAATGAAGAGCGACGACTGCATTCTGGAGAGTCTGGGAAGGCTCCGTAGAGCTCGCCCTTGCGGTGGGTCTGGGAAGACGCGAAGCCGAGCCGAGCCTCTAACTCCTACAAACACGGGACGCGGGGAGGGGGCTGCTGCGGGAACTGCAACTCCTCGTGAGCTCCTCCTGATGGCAACGTAACTAGCAACACAGGATGGGAATTTTAAATAAAAACAGACCTTCCAGGGCGCCTGGGTGGCTCAGTTGGTTGAGCGACTGCCTTCGGCTCAGGTCATGATCCTGGAGTCCCTGGATCGAGTCCCGCATCGGGCTCCCTGCTCGGCGGGGAGCCTGCTTCTCCCTCTGACCCTCCCCCCTCGCATGTGCTTTCTCTCTCTCATTCTCTCTCTCTCAAATAAATAAATAAAATCTTTAAAAAAAAAAAAAAAAACAGACCTTCCATCATTTTCTAATTAGGGTATATTCTACAGTGCAGAACTGTGTGTTTCGCGGGGAGAATTAATGGCAGGAAGTGTGTAGGCTCCCCATCCAGGCCCTGTGCACAAATTTCGATTAGGCCAGAAAGATGCTGGTCTTTCTCCCAGGTCTCCCAAGTCTGGGAGACAGTGATGGTAACATAGCAAAGCAGTGACGTGCTAACATAACAGTAATTCACAGTGAGAGTTAATTTTGAGTGGTATTATTTGAGGATTCGAATGGCCAGCAGGCTCCCGGATGGCAGCCATCTTAATCTTTTCCTCCTCAAAAGTTTTCAGCTCCGTTCACAGGGATTCTTCCATGGAACCAGCTGTTTAATGATGCAAGTCAACAGGACCATCCCTTTAGAGGCTGCTTTACTGGAATCTTCCACCGTGCAGAGAGATATCTCTATTACAACGTGGTTCCTCCTCTAATTCCATGCCATGGAACCAATTTAAATACCATTATGTAATAATAAGAAAGCAAACCCTCACAGATGGTCTAGAAAGATGGATTGCATTATAAGTGTTGTGCTTCATGATAGATAATATTGAAACATTTTGGTTTTATGGCTAAAGATTATGCTACTAATAATAGCACTTTCTCTACTGAGGAGTTTGTTCATAGTTATATTGTGGAGAACTACTGATTTTGGGAAAATTTCTTCCACGCTCTGAGTGATTGCTGATGTTTATTGAGGAATAGCTGTGAGGAGGGGGGAGGGGTGTGGTGCCGTCCTAAGCATTCCTCAACCCTGTCAGTAAAATCTGCTCTTGCTTCCTTTTAGAGATGAAAAAGTGAAGCTCACAGGATTAAATAACTTGCCCGCTTGGCTAGCAAGTGGTAGAGCAAAATCGGAACTCAAATGGTCAGACTGAAAGAACCAAGCAGTGACTCATTATCTGAAGATGTTTAAAATACTTGTTTATCTGAAGTTGAGACATTTGTTGATAGATACAAAGAATTCTGTTGACAACAGAAAATATTCCCTAAATCAACTGATTTTCTGTTGTTTTTCTCCAATAAACGTAAGGTCAAATGAAAGGACTGGGCGTAGTTTATCAACCTCAACATACGTGTGGATATCATAGCTGACTTTAGATTGCACACGCATGTGCACACAGACACGCATTCACATGCACACACTGTGGAAGAACAAGAGACTGTTGGACAGAAATTACTAAACTGTCCTTTTACTTGAGTTAATATCCTTGCGTCTGTCTAGGAAATTATTAAACTGCCCAGTCTCCAACATCCCTTTGGGCAGCAGTCCCCCCTCCTCCCTTTCAGCCTCTCGCCCATGGTGTTTGGTTTCATTCTATGTAGAATTCTTGCCACTGTAACTGTTAGCCAATAATTATAAAAGCATCGATGAAGACCAGACCTTTCCTCTCCCTCACTTCCTGTATCTCGAGCCCTCCAATAAAAAGATAGATTGCTGGCTGAGAGTCACCTTTAGAGAGTGTAAGTAATATGAGCAGTAAGTGCCAACTATGAGGGTGTAGGAATGGAACGTGATGACTGTCTCTTGGAGCGGTCACCCAGGCCCACAGAATCCTGCATGGCTGGGGAGCAGGCTGGGGAGCACCCCAGGAAGGAGTGCTGCCCAAAGCATGATGATCCAAAGGTTGGATCAGTTCTAGTCCCTGCCAACAAAATGTGTAAGCATTGCTTAGAGAATCTGGCTCTATCCCCAGGTGGGTATTGCATATTAACCATATAATTTCTTCTTATTAAAAACAAGGTATTTGATAATTCTTGGATTTTTTTAGTCCTCCCTTAAAAGGGAAACTGAAATTTCAACTGAAGGAAAGGAAAACACAACCTAACTAGATAATTCTAGAGCTAAACTGAAAAGAATTGAGAGACATGCTAAGGCATTTTGGTGTAATAATAGGAAGACAGAGCAAAGCAACTCTCTTCTCAGGTTCCTTGTTGTGTTAAAAACTAGCATAGGCTCGGGGCGCCTGGGTGGCTCAGTTGGTTAAGCGACTGCCTTCGGCTCAGGTCATGATCCCGGAGTCCCGGGATCGAGTCCCGGGATCGAGTCCCGCATCGGGCTCCCTGCTCAGCAGGGAGTCTGCTTCTCCCTCTGACCCTCCTCCCTCTCATGCTCTCTGTCTCTCATTCTCTCTCTCGCAAATAAATAAAATCTTAAAAAAAAAACAAAAATTAAAAAAAACTAGCATAGGCTCAGCTGAGATTTTAAAGTTGTTAATAAAAAGTCTGAAATGGATTTTTTAAGCACTCACTATTTTTTCATGCGTCTATGAGCTACAGCTTCAGAAGGCTATTTCTGACTGGTATTTGTACGCTGAGCTTATATTCGTTATCTATTGTTGCATAACGAATTACCATAACGAATTACCACATAACGAATTACTGTGAGCAGCTGAAAACAACAGACACTTAATATTTCATAGTTTCTGTGGTCTGGGAATCCAATCACAGCTTAGCTAGAGTTTTAGCTTGGGGTTTCCCAGAAGGCTACAATCCTCTTACGGCTTGCTACTTCCAAGCTCACTCAAGTGAGCAGACCTCACAAAATCTGCTTCCAAGCTCTGTCACATGGCCCTCTCCACAGGACTGCCTCACAACGTGGCAACTGGCTTCCTCCAGAAGTGAGTGAACCAAAAGAGAATGCCCAAGATATAAGCCACAGTCCTTTTTCTTTTTTTCATTTATTTATTTTTTTATTATTATGTTATGTTAATCACCATACATTACATCATCAGTTTTTGATGGAGTGTTCCATGATTCACTGTTTGCGCATAACACCCAGTGCTCCATGCAGAACGTGCCCTCTTTAATACCCGTCACCAGGCTAACCCATCCCCCCACCCCTCTCCCCTCTAGAAGCCTCAGTTTGTTTCTCAGAGTCCATAGTCTCTCAGGGTTCGTCTCCACGGAGGGGGCCACAGTCCTTTTATAACCTAAAATTAAAAGTGATATTCCAACACTTCTGCCATATGCTGTTTGTAAGAAGGGAATCAATAAATTCAGCCCGCATTCAAGGGCAAGGAATTACACAGGGCATGAATACCAGAAGGCAGGGATCATTGAGAGACCTTTTATCAGCTGCCTAATATAGCTGTGTATCAGAAATCAAAAGAGAGAAGGGACTGAGAAAAGGAAACTGAGAAGAGGTATTGAGAAAATCTGTCAACTCTCCCCACCCCCAACAAACACACACAGTAGGCATTTGACTGATCATAGCTTTTATAAATTAGAATACTTTAGTACTCAGAGAAGTATAAGAGAAAACAAAAATAGAACACTTTTTAGCATTATTTTTAAATATATGCATTAATATGTAAATTTTTTCTGAAGACTAGTGTTATGAACCGAATTGTGTCCCCTCCCTCCCCAAATTTATATGTGGAAGTCCTGACATCCGGCACTTGAGCATGTGACTATATTTAGGGATAGGATCCTTAAAGAGGTGACTAAGTTAAAATGAGGTCATTAGGGTGGGCTTGATTCCAGTCTAACTGGTGTTCTTATAAGAAGAAGAAATTGGGACACCAAGAGAGATACCAGAGATGCAGGGACATAGAAGAAAGGCCATGTGAGGAAAGAGGGACAAGATGGCCATCCATAAGCCAAGAGAGGTCTCTACCTGAAATCAGCCCTCCAACACCCTGATCTCAGACTTACAGCCTCCAGAACTGTGAGGAAAAACAGTTGTTCAAGCCACCCAGTCCGTGGTATTCTATTGTGGCAGCCCTCGCAAAGTCATACAACTGTTATTTTTTAACCAAAATCTCTTTGTGCGTTTTCATTTGTCACTATTTCCCGGTGACCTCATAGAGAACAAAGTAAGTGTTCTATTTTGTTTTGTTTTAGTTTCCTCTGGACATAGTCCTAACCCTTCTAATTTTAGGATTGTTTGGAATTCTCCAAAGAACACAGTTAAATTAATTTACTCTTTATCTTTCTTTTGGTAGCTTTTCTTCTTTTACTCATTATCACATTGTTTCCTCCTTTGTCTTTGCCTCATCTTTACTAAGACAATATTAAGTTGCCTTTACAGTGGTTTAGTAGCAATACATGTGGCTTGATAGGAATCTTGGCACTAAGGTAATAGCATAGAAATTCATAGATGAAGAACATTTTTTGGGTTCTTCTGTTATTTTTTATGGGACAACCATTGGCACAAGCATACCGTTCAATATCCGCTTTCACTTCTAGACTTAAAAGTTCTAACTCTTCCCAAGAGAATCGAATTTAAAGCTTAAATTCTCTTTAGTTTCTATGATGTTTCCATTTCATGGGCAGGCATCTGCTTTGCTTTAGTGGAATCTGATCGCCAGTTTCCAAAGTCATTATGCAAATTACACTCCTCCATCAGTGTGTGTGAGTTCCTTTTGTTCCAAATCCTCCCCAGCACATGGCATTGTTTGATTTTTTTTTTTTAATTTTAGCCATTCTGGTGAGTATGTATGGCATAGAATTTTCATTTCCCTGGTGACTCCTGAATTTAGGTAGCTTTATCATGTTTCAGTTATTTGAGA